GTGGAACTTGCAAAAATCTGCGGTGAACTTCGCAAAAATTGCGGTGATACTTGCGAAAAATTGCCGTGGAAAAAAAAAAAAGAGTTTCCCAACACCCTGCTTCGTCCACTAGCTACGTACCTTGAATCGTAAAGGATGTAAGTTCTTTATTACTTCCTCATGATAAGCAAGCCATCTCACTACACACAAAAGTTGCTGGGAAGGTTCTCATCTTGTTTTATTTCCAGACCTTAATAAAGGCATGTTCCTAAACTTTTACAGAAACATTCGATGAGCTCAAACAAGTTCTCTGTAGCTTTACACAAAAAAAAAGCGGGAATATGCAAACTTTCTGTAAAAATGAATAAATAAAATTATTAAAAAGAAATAATAATGTGGCTTCCTGTTTTTACACGGACGTAGGCTATACAAAAAAAACAGACATCTTCTGGGGTTAAAATAAGTGACTTCCAATGCACAAAGTGCAATCTCTCTTACTGTAACGTAGAATTTACATACTACTCAATATACTTACAACGTAAGGTTGTTCATCGTGGGGGTTTGCAGCTTTGTCGATGATGTTTCAGCGTGCGCGTTTAAATGACGTCACCTCAATAAGCGTTCCCCCACTGGCAACAGGGGGAAAATGGGCTGCTCCGTTGAGCTGAAGTAAACGCAACATTTTTCAACTTTTCTGCTAAGATATGCGCATAAATATGGCTTTGGCTGATTATGCATTGAATTATGCGATCGCATAATCACGTTTTTCTGGAGGGACTGGTCTATAATCAGTGTCAGTAATATTTTTTCTTATGGTGTATTAAAACATGACATGACATGTTTAAGCTACATTTAAGTCAACAACAGAACTTCCCACGGATTTGAAAGCAAGCAACAACCTCAAAAGATCTATTATTTGTTTTATTTATTTAAAAGTTTATATTACATCAAGGCTTAAAATCCTTTTATTTAACTGATGCGTTGATCTATATTGGACCCAATCTGATCCTGTTTTTACATCAGTTAACCAATTGGGCTGTTTAGAAAGAGTGTGGCTGGCTCCAGATCTGCAGCGACTCTGCATCTGTTTTGTTTTTCCCTCAAGCAAATTTGGCAGCAAAATACACTAATAATCTTCTGGCCGTTTTTTTTTGACAAATTCAGTGTTTTCCTGTCCCTGGCGTCAGATAAGGCATTGGCAACCCCTAGTGGGACCAGTGAATCCATGTCATGTAATCTATTACACTTAAGGAAAGCTTGTCATCCAACCAAATACTTATATGATGACAATTTTTCAATTGAGCCCCTATTTAGTGTGTTGATAGTTATGTTACCTGGGGACTGGAAGCGAGCCCTTGAAAACATCATGCAATTGGGTTTTCTTAGCATTTAGAATTTTATCACACTCAGCTTGCTCTAGAAAAGTATGTGTACGCTGCTCTAAAGTACTGGATGTGTGATATACGCACATTCTCACTGCACATTCTGGGGCAAATTCACGAAAAGGATTGCATAGCATTTCAGGTCTCTGTGCTGGTGAATATGTGTACCTCAATATAGTTAGCATAAGTGTTGCTAAAATTATTATTTTCTTCAGAATGCAAATAACAGTTTTGTTCTTGCAGCTGAATTTCTTTTTTTTTTTTTACTCAAATGTAGCTTAACCTTGTCACGTGACAGTATATCAGTATACCTTAAGAACAAATATTACTGCAACCACTACAGAAAACTGCAGAATAAACATTGGATATCCAGGAATTGACATTATAGACACTATAGCTGACAATACACAGTCCAGCCATATACCTCTCAGCCATTGTCCTGCCTACTGTGTTCTTTGTGCAAAGTCTCGTCAATTTTGCCACATGGATAACTGCAATCAGATGCGAAACAAGGGCAGAATACATTCAGCTGCAAAACTATCTGGCCGTGTTTGTGTTGTAATATCATTAGCACAATATCTTTTGTGACTCAGACATTGAGACAGGGCAGACAGGTTGCAAGTGATGCGCAATTTATGGTACTATGAGCAACCAAAATCTATTCTCAGCGAAATCGCCTCTGTGTCTTTATAAATACCAGTTTATGTGGTGAAAATGGTGTATGCATGATTTTTGTGCATATGCATTTTTTATCTTCTGGCAGCAGGACTAGATTAACACAGACAGCCAATCCTTCAGATTAGTGAAAACTCTTGTGGAAAAATTTAAAAGATTATTTTTTTTGTTAACACACACACACACCCCAACAGACCTGATTCCGTAGCGTGTGAAGACAGGAATGGAGTCCTGAGCATCCTTCTCCACCTGTGTGTAGAATCTTTGGAAGTTTGAAGGTAACCAGGGGCAGCTGCGTAAACCTGACTCCACTGGAACACGGGTATATGGAATCCTGAGATCAGACAGGACCTGTGCAAACACCTCACGCACCTCTGCAACACACAGTACATAGGCTGTGGTTAAAAGACATTATTTCACCTACTTAATAAAGTCATTCTCATAGCCAACAATTATTGTAAAGCTAGTAATGTTCAACTCAGACAACACTGAAATTCTTGTATTTGGCACCAAACACCTCAGAAACTCACTGTCTAAAGACATAGTTACTCTAGATGGTATTACTTTGGCCTCCATTGCCACTCTCAGGAATCTTGGAGTTATCTTTGATCAGGACAGCTACCAAGCTCCTCCCGAACCAACTTCCAGTTTTGGTTCAGGAGGCAGACAACCAGATTTAATAGTAGGCTTAAGACGTTCCTCTTTGATAAAGCTTAGTTTAGTAAAGCTAGTTAGTTATGCTGCTATAGGCCTAAACTGCCGGAGGATTTCCCATGAAGTGCTTGCTCATGGTGGGAACTGTTGGGTCTCTGTAAATATAATAAATAAATAAAAATAAATTTATTAGGAGTACGGTCCAGACCTGCTCTATTTGAAAAGTGTCCTGACATAACTTTCGTAATGAATTGGCGCTATACAAATAAAACTGAATCGAATTGAATTGAATTGATAAACTACTGCTTTGCTTCTGGTTATCCTTGTGGCTTAAGTTATGGTTATTGTCTGACTATTTTACCTAAAACATGCCACTGACAAGTCTCATTATTGATTGTTGTTTAGTTTCTCCTGTTTTGGCTTCTTTGGGTTTTATGTTTATTTTATTGTAAACCAACTGCTTCATCAAACAGGAAGGTTGGGTTGCTATATTGTAATAAAAGAAATACATATTTTAACCTGGTTTCTATTTAAGCTTTTATTAATCCGAACATAAATAATTTGTCTTTGAACTTGAAATTCATGCCTCTGGTCCCATTTTTTGTGAAAGAACTTGCATACTCACTTATAATAACTCTCTGGGTGAAATTCCCAGGGTGGCGTTGTCAGCGACAATTAGTACTGGCGCCCCCCAGGGTTGTGTGCTCTCCCCACTGCTCCTCTCCCTCTACACAAATAACTGCACCTCAAGAGACCAGTCTATCAAACTCCTGAAGTTGACAGACGACACAACAGCCATCGACCCCATCAGGAAGCTCAACCTGCCTAAGGAACTGCTGATCCAGTTCTATAGTGCAATCATTCAGTCTGGTCTTTGTTCCATCCATCACTTTGGACCAAACAGGACAGGAACAGGACTACAGTGGACAGTCAGGACAAAGGAACCGTTTCTACCCACAGGCCATCACTCAGAGTGTCAGAAACAACCCCTGTACAATAACCCTGGGACTCTAACATCCACTGAACCTGTAAACTATTATTTATATATTTATATTATTAAACTATTATTTATTTTTTACTCTGTGTTTGTACATTGAAAGCAATGTAAAACTGGAGTCAAATTCCTTTTATGTGTGCACATACCTGGCCAATAAAGTGATTCTGATTCTAATACATTTTAATGTTAGTGTACTAGCCCGAAAATTTACTCTAAGTACCAAAAGTATTCTTTACTCTTTACAGTATAATATATATTATTGAATTATAATGAAGCATTACTGTGTTCATCACCTTAATGTTGCAGCTAGTTCAGGGGAGCTCATTTGAATTACTTTATATACTGCTGGTTAAGTAATGAATTTCCTCTTGAGGATCAATAAAGTTTTATCTTCATCTATGATAATACATCATGGTCTATTTGTTGACTATATTTTGTATTAATAAACTGAATCAGCAAAAAGTTATGAAATTAATGTACAAAAAAAATAAATCCTTTCGAGATGTAGTGGAAGTAACCAAGCAGCAGAAAAAGTACCTCAAAACTGTACTTAAGTTCATTACTTGAGTAAATGTAGTTAGCTACTGCACACTGGTTTGAACTGTGATTGTGATTTCTCCACCATGAACAGGGTACCGGGCAATAACCCATTCTATTCTTAAATGTAATAAAATGCAATGTTGAGATATTTCTCCAATGCATTTTTATGCAATTCTTGTGATAACTTTGTTTTGAGTCTTGAATATACAGAGCAAACAGAAATTATAAACACTAATATAAACTGAAAACGCCTTCTACAGCAATATGCCCGTGGATTGCTTCCACGTGCCATCCCACACCCCTCATAATTTTGTTTTTGTTTTTTTGTACGACCAGGCCTGAAAAAAATACTAGTGGAAACACTGTATTACAAACATTACCTGGCAGTACATGGACGTGTTGGTGTCCATCCATGTGGTGGGGCAGGTGACCTGTCAGTTCTCTGAACAGCCTGACCTGGGCTCTCAACTCTTGCTCCACCTGGGGAGGAAAAACACAGCTGGAGATTACTGTGGTGGAGAAACATGACTTCCTCTTCTTCTCTTGGTAGCCAAGATTTCAACTTGCAGAAGTAAAGTATGCATGCAGAATTACTCAACATAAACATGACAATGACTCACTATATATGTTGGGACAGTTTGATAAGGTATTGCTTATGGACAGTAAAGCAAGTGACTATTATGACTGTATGACTCTAAGGCAGACAGTACAGACAGTGTAGTGTAGTCGCAGCAGAGCATGCGCCATAGCCCTTACTTAAACCAGTGTATAGCCAGACCGGGACCAGAACTATTATTAATTATTCTTGGCGTATCTGAAGCATTAAGCATCTTGTAGACTTGCTCACTGCCGACCTGTCGCGCGACA